AGAGCGGTTACTCCCACAACAAAGCTGGTGCTATGCACATAATATATATTAAAATATTCCAGTGGAATCACTGTTGATAAGTAGTTGTGTCTGTTCCAAGCTAAACCCAAGTGCAACACAAGGATTGCAAAAGAAAAGCGAAGCCTAGTTTTTATTTTCTTTCTTTAGGAAAGTGGGCACTGCTACCAACCTTTCCCTTCCTTGTCCAAACCAACCAGCAGTCCCCTAAATGGTCAGACATAAGTGATGGGGCCAGTTCAAATGCTGACTGGCCAAGGAAGATGCATACAAACGTTTATTGTTACCAAAAAGGTGTTGTTGCTGCAGTTGTTCAGAGGACTGTAAAAGAAAAAAAGCCAAATGGTAAAAAAACTGCAGCTCTTTTGCTGTTACAGATTTCTGACTCTGAAGTCGGTAGCGTCATGCTGGCTTGTTTTTCCACCCCAGAAAATCCAACTTTGAAATAATGAAAAAACATTACTCAAGAATGTGATCAAAGACAATATTTTGAAATATTTACACTGTAAAAAAACAAAAAAACCAACACTGTTGGTCTTTGTTGGCCAGATGTCTGAACTTTTGGTGAAAGACCATTGGAAAAAAAAACAGTAGGAATTTTGTTGATTTTTATCTCACGTTTCAATGATGTTCTGAATTACCAGTCCTATTTTAGACATCCCATGTGATTTATACTGGATAAATACAAACCATTAAGGGAGTTTCTGATTTAAATATTCTACTTTTGTCTTGTTTTCAATCATTGTGGCATTAACATAATTCAGAATCACTCCACAGAACCATATGCATTTCTTAATTTTGGTTATAGCCCAACAGACTGCATATTTTCTCCTGTTTTGTTACTTGTATTATTTTTGTTTTAAATTTACTTTTCAAAACAGCATTTGCTGTCTTTTGAAATTCTGGTTTAAATAAAATTATTTACAGATGTGCTTCTTTACTGGTTTTATATATATATTTTTTAGTGATATGTTTTAGAAAATGTTATAGGGTGAAACTGCTGATGAGCACAGAGGAGAAAAATGCACATGGCGTGAAAAAATGCATAGCTTTAACTTTTTCTGTTCATGACTTTCTAAATAGTTTCTTCTGTTGGCTGCTGTTTTGCTTTATACTAATGTCATCTCTGTTTCTTGGCATGGGCTTCTGCTCAAGGCTATTGTGAGTATGGCTTTCTATTTACTTAACACTACTTTCAGTTTATAGACATATATTTGTTGGGTTTTTTGGGGGAAGATGCTCACATTGTATGAAGTGAGTTTAAAATTAAAATTTACTTTGAAGCTTTTATTCAAAGAGCTTATATAAATGTCATTTAACTAGAAAGTGGAACACTGTAAGTTGTATGATATTTTTTATGTATCTGTAATCAATAAAGAGAGGAAACAGAAACAAGGTAAAATTTCTAATATGCTCTGGTCAGAAACACTCTACTCACTCTAGATTCTATGGGGACAGAAATTTACTTCAATGGATTTGCTACATGTCTTCATGCAAATTGCCTCGAAATATTGGTAGACAGCTCTCTGGCAAATTTTGCTGCACTTCTTCATTTCAGATTAATTTATTGTCTAATTATAAAACTACTGAAGAAATTAAAACAAGTGCCATAGAATTTTTTCATTTATGGATCTTGCTTTTATTGATCTAGTTACTGGGTAAATATTCTTAAAACGTTACGTTCAGGAAAGCTCTAATTTCAGGAAAGTAACACAGATGTGGAGGGAAGTATAGCTACCAGAGGCTGGCTTTGCACTTGTGATCTAAAACTGAGTCAAGTAAAAAGTTGGATTTTGGTTAGTATGTCAAAATTATATGTTTTTAAATTACGTTAAAGCTCCATAGTAACTTTTAACTTTCTGTTTTAGTCAGTTCTTCTGAAAAAGAAGCTTGAAGAACATCTGTAAGTATTTCATTTGCCTGTTTTGTTTGCCATTTGAAAATTATATGTTTTCCATATGTTATGGAAGGCAGACAGTCATTAATCGTGCATCTGGAAAATAATGCAGCTAAGATAATTTATTTAAGATGGGAATGTTTGGGAGTCTACTGTTCAGATACTGTTTTCATCTCATACAAAACCTTTGTAAAAGCAGTAAGAGTGATGAAGGAACCATGATTTTGTGGTGATAGAGAAAACTTTGCTTAACATTGTGTAGATCTTTACTCAGTTGGAGTACCTAATTTTGTGCTGAGGAAAGCATACTAATGTAAACAAAATTAATTTGTTTACCTTTTAGTATACATTATGGCATAAAAATAACATTTTAGGAAGTGTTATAGTTCTATTCTGCTATTTTGCACTTCTTTTGCTTCCCTAAAATGCAAAGAGCAGTTTTCTTTTTCAGTGCCTTGCAAAAAACCCCAAAATAACTAGTTTCAGTTGCCTTTGGGTTTAGCCATTCTTTCTCAATGTAATGTCCATTGTGAGCATTAATTTTAGACATGCATTGTGCAATTAACTTTAAGTTCTAAATCAAGTTTGTAATTTCTGAGAATGAAGCTGTTTGTTGTTACAATTATCTATACACCCTAATGTTGTTCAGCTTATTTAACAAATATTTCCACAGTAATATTGTCATTTCCCTCATGCCCCACAATAAAAATCAGTTGAATTCACAGAAGTACCTTACTATGTGAGATTTTTTAGGTACTGCTTAGTTTTCATTGAGGCACAGTTATAATGTTTACAAAACAGTATGTGCTTTTATGGTTTGTAACAGTGAGAAGCTCCATGAAGCTAACAATGAGCTACAGAAGAAACGAGCTATTATTGAGGATTTGGAACCAAGATGCAATAACAGTTGTGAGTTACCTGTGCAGTCCATTTCTTTTCTTTGTAAAGTATTTCATGGGCAAGATCTATTAATTGTAATACCTATAGGACTTGAGATAAACAACATGCACACTTTAAATGGCTTCAAGCTGCAGTAGGGTAGGTTTAGACTGGACATTAGGAAAAAAAAAATCCACAGAAAGAGTGGTCAGACACGGGAATAGGCTGTCCAGGGAGGTGGTTGAGTCACCATCCCTGGATGTGTTTAAGGGTTGCATGGATGTGGTGTTGATGGACCTGGTTTAGGGGAGAACTTTGTAGAGTAGGGACTTGGTGATCCCAAGGGTCTTTTCCAACTTGAATAGTTCTATGATTCTATAAAATTACAATGGCTATAGAAATACTGAGTTACTGTCATACTTGTCATTGAACCTCAGCTGTTCAGAACTGACATGTTTCTTAAGACCCCAATTTGGGAGATCCTTGTTGCTATCACCAGGGTATTTTTACTTTCAATATATATTCCGTCAGAACTGTGTTGTAATTTGAAAAAATCTTTGGATGCTGGTCAAAGAGAATATAGAATATATATTGCATTGCTCAGATGATATCCAGAACCCAGCATCCAGGCTTTTTAGCGTATCAGTTCTAGTTTTTTCCTGAACTGTATCAAAGAAGGTAGATTATTTTTTTTCAAGGCTATTTATTACAGAACAAGGCAAAAGATGGCAACCGGTGCCAGATTTTCTGGTTTGTGCCAAAGCAATTTTATTCATAAAGACATAGAAGAAGATGTAAGTTCAGTATTCATCACTTACATTCTGTATCCAAAAAGAGTTTTCATTTATGTTGAGCTAAAACTGCAAAATATGTTATAAATGCCATGGTTTAGGAAATGTTATAAACACTTGGAAATGAGATTCAGGGATTTCATGAGTAGCTAATAAACACATAATCCTGTCACACTTGATAAGCTTCAGTGCGAGTCTTCTAACTCACCAACTTCTGAGCATTAGATCATATTGAGGCTTCTGTAGTTAGTCTCCTGAAATTGCGAGTTGCTTTTTAAAAATCTAGGTCAAAACTTTTGTCTTAGTAAAATAAAAATAGTTGCACCTTCTTGCTTTCTTTCCATGCTCAGGAAATGTGTATGAATTATTTTTTGAGATTGCTTTAATTATCCAAGGTATGGCCAAATTCCTTGATGATCGTACAAGAATCACGCCACATTTTGAAAAATGGATTCTTGAAGTCTTAGAGTCTGTCTGTGTCTGTTTCCCACAATCTGCTATTAGTCTTTGTAATAAACAATGAAGATCTTACTTAATCCTAGTACCAGCTTAGTGTTTACTGAGTGCTTAGAGAGAAAACTGTAAGAAAAATATGAAAGAACATTTCAAAATGAGACTGCAAAACAGGTGGACTGAGAGTTGCCGGTTATCTGACGTTGGCTGAGAACCAGACACCAATGTTATATGCTGTTTGATCCAGGATGATGCAGCTGATTAATTATTTTTCTGAGGTCAAAGAAGATGTATAGAAGGTGTCTAAACAATAGTGGTTTGACATATTCTTGTATTAACACTAAAAGACTGTGTGATTAAATAATCCTACTAGTTTACATTGCTGCTTAAGAAAATGTGGGAGAGAAATTGAGTATATTCATGTCACAAGTCTTATAAATGGTATCCAGTGTTACAGTTTAGTAGATTTAAGCACCAGTTGTGCCTATTAAGAATTATTCCTCTTACATAAAAGAGGAAAATTCATACTTACTCATAGTGAGATTGGTTTATGATTCCCTTTCTCTTTATTTTTTCATAACTTAAAAAAAGGGCAAAGTTTGTATATGAACCAGCCATCGCATGATGCTATATACAAGTACACGTTTTTAATCCTATTTCTGAGCTGTTCAGAAATTAAAGTATGGTATCTGCTATATCAGGTTCCTTATGTTAGCTTTCTTAAGCTGAAATACCTTCTAGCTGTGCATTAAATGTCTGTTGAAAAACATGAAAATAAACATAGCATTACTATTATTATGTTATTTTTTCAATGTGTGCATCTCCTGATATAAAGCACTCAAAATTGAAGAATTACAAGAAGCTTTAAGGAAAAAGGAAGAGGAAATGAAGCAAATGGAAGAGCGATACAAAAAGTATTTGGAAAAGGCCAAAAGTGTAAGTATATGTATTCCACATTAATAGTCCCTCTGACAGGCTTCACTGTGTATCCACTTTGCAGGAATAAAAATTAAGGATCTGTATCTGTATACATACTAAGAAGTAAAAGAGAAGCAAATCCCAGGGAGTTTTTTGTATCTTCCTTCTGTTGCAGGACCTCATACTGGTTAATTCTGTAGAAGATTTTACTCTGTTGGGTTTTTTTGCTCCCGACTGTCCCCTTTTGCTGCCTGTCCATGAGCCCTTCTGGTGTCTCTGCACAAATTTGTACCCACTGCTGTAGATTTTTGATACAAAGCTTGTTAATCACCCTTTCATGTTGGCTGATGACAACGAGAAGGTGTTAAAACCTTTCTAAACACAATAGCCTATTTATTGGTGGAAATTCTTCCAGAATTCTGTCTCTGAGTGACAAATGTATAGATCAGCTAGAGTAGTGTCCATAGTAGGACTGGTGGTATAGAAACAACCAAAAGGAGAGCCGCCTGTGTAAGCCAACTCAAGGGAAGGAAGCTCTGTGAGAAGATGTGCTCTTTAATTGGCATTTGTGCTGTGACTTTTGGGAACTTCTGGCACAGTTGTCATGAAGACTTCTATCTCTTGATGCACACAAATATTGCTTAGTATAGGCACAATTTGGACCAACAAACTCTGGTTTTATCAGTTTGGCAGGAAGAGAAAAAGAAGTTAGGGGATATTTCTTCCACAGATGGCTGGATCTGTTTATGATTTTTTCTGGATGGTTTAGGCTTCTTGTAGTGCTCAGTTAGTAATATCTGTCTTACCACGAGCAACTATTGTGATAAATAATCTTTTTTATAAATACAGCTTTTAGCTACTTCAGATTTCATCAGGTCATAATTGCTCACATAAATTGCTTATTCTTTTAGAGGGGGCTAAGAATTTACAGGCAGAGGCAATTATACATGGAACCATATTTAGCAATTTAAATTTGACTTTGCTTTCTTTGTTCATCTTTTGCCTCTGATTTCTGTTCACATTGGGGTTTAGCTAACTGGTATAGAAACTGTTTTAATATAGATTATTTTATTGATTTATTTTCCAAATAAAGAGATCTTTCTAGCTCAGCCACATTTCCCTGGTGATATTCTGCATTCTGCTTGCCTTTACTGTTAAATATTAGCTACTGTCTCAACAGGGGCATATATTAAAATATGATACTGAGTATGTGGGTGTAGTTACAGCTTTGAAATGGCAATACGTGACAAGGTGGCTTCAAGCATAGTCTCCTTTCTCCTTATATTATACCTTGATGTTTTGTTTGGGCTTCTTAAAAGCATACCAATGTCTTAGTTTATCTGGTCATAGTACTATCAAAAACTTTGCTATGGCTACGTATCAAGCTGCAGTCTGCAAGTAGGCTCCTAATTTGGCAGAACTTTCAAAGATGCTCTTTCTTTTAAGAAGATAAAATGTTAATTAAATAGATGCAGTACAAACGCAAGCTGTTACAGGTTGGGGTGGGTAGTTTTGATTTTTAACTTCTCTTGCCTTTTAATTATTTTTGCCACAGCCCCACTAGTGTAAAGTAACACAAGCATAATTAGTTTGACTTGGCACAATTTTGACACAGTGCACCTCTCCTATGAAGACAGGCTGAAAGAGTTGGGGCTCTTCAGCCTGAAGAAGGCTCTGGGTAGACGTTATAGCAGCCTTCCACTACCTGAAGGAGCTACAGGAAAGCTGGGGAGGGGCTTTTTACGAGAATTTAAAGTGAGAAGACAAGAGGTAATGGATCAAAACTGGGAGAGGGGAGATTTAGGTTAGACATTAGGAAGAAATTCTTTAGTGTAAGGCTGGTGAGACACTGGAACAGGTTGCCCAAGGAGGTTGTGGATGCCTGCTCCCTAGAAGTGTTCAAGACCAGGTTGGATGGGGCCCTGAGCAACTGAATCTAGTGGGAAATGTCCTTGTCTATGCAGGGGTTTGGAACTTGATGATCTTTAAGATCCCTTCCAAACCAAACCAGTCTATAATTCTGTGATTCCTTTACTTCTGTGTAGCTTCCTCAATGACTTCTTGTGAGATGTTTCAAAAGTCTTCAGGAAATCTAAAGAAATTTATTTATTTTCTTTTTAGCGCATTGTGTTTATGACTGTGTCTCAGAGTATTCCAGTGACAGTCACAATTTCAGTTTTTAGTAATTTTTTTGGTTTGTATGTACTGTGTTACCATAGGATGTTATATACAACAGTTGCATTAATTGTTTTATTTAGGAGAGCTTTTTGTGATCTTACCAACTTCCAGTTTGGGTTTGATGAAGACAAGTACAATCATTAAAGCCTTCCACTACAGAAATTGTATCCAGGTCTAGTTTGTGATTTCTTAGGAACACTTTAATGGATCTATTGGAATGCTTTTGCAGGATTCAATTAAAAGCCAACTGGTTTTGTCTTACAGGTCATCCGCACTTTAGATCCTAAGCAGAACCAGGGTTCAGCTCCTGAGATTCAAGCTCTGAAAAATCAATTGCAGGAGCGGGACAGAATATTTAATTCATTAGAGGTAGTAATCCTCATATTTCCTAGTTCATGCATATTTCCTCATTGGATTTTAGGTATAAACTAAAAAATGTAGTATATTTTGGTTCTAAATGTATGCTTTTTTTGATGTTTCTTTTATAGAAAGAATATGAAAAAACAAAAAATCAAAGAGAGATGGAGGAGAAATTTATTGTTAGTGCCTGGTACAATATGGTAAGAATCTCCCAAACTTTTTATTAAAAAAAAATGAAATAAACTATTAATAATAATTGTTTCCAGGTTATTTGTAGCTGTATTAACTCATCTGCTGTTTCTTTGAAAAGCATTTTCTAATACACAGACACAGAAACAAATACTTCTTAATAATTTTAAATTACTGCTATACAAGAGTATGTTCCTTTAATAACCATGGAGGTAAATAAAAAGAATCTGTATGTTATTTACAAGGTTTAGAACCAAAAATGGCACTTCATAGAGGGAAGGGTACCTCGGGTTACTATTCTATAATCCCAGTCCTTCAGTTATACTGATTTACAGTGTTCAAATTTACTTTCTTCTTCTGTTCTCCCTTCTCTAGTCTTTCAATGTTTTTAAATGATAAGCAATATAAAATAAAGAAAATACAGGAAAACACAATAAAAGCAATACTGCCTACTTGCTACAGTAAGTACTCAGAGATACGACGCCTTTAACTTGAGTGCAAGTTTAGTCCTATGCAGAGGATGTGGAACAGTGACCAGACCCTCATCTAAATTACTCAAACCATAAGGAAGTGACCTAACCTTGAAAAAATGGTGCCTCATGTTTGAAATTCAAATGGCTTTGCATGTGTTGGTGAAGTAGGTAATAAAAAAGTGAGTGAAATAGCTCAGTGTTCTGTGTTGACTGAGAAGTTTCTCTTTGTCCATAGGGGATGACTCTGCATAAAAAAGCAGCAGAAGATAGACTGGCTAGTACAGGCTCAGGACAGTCCTTCCTGGCTAGACAACGGCAAGCCACGAGCACAAGGAGATCTTACCCTGGTCATGTCCAGCCAGCAACAGCAAGGTAGAGAAGCCTTGCCCTTAAAAAGAAAACTGCCCTGTGATCCAGGCCACTTCTGTTGCAAGTGACAACATTCAAGGAAAACCAACCAGCATCCTTTCTCTTTCTCCCTTGTTACTACTATTATTTTACAGTCCAGGAAAGGGTTTTCTTATGTTTTATCATTGTTCTGTAATGCCCTTTGCTTATATTTTTTGGAGTCGGTATCTCTCTCTCTCCCTCTGCCTTTTTGAATGTGCCAAAGGTTTGGAAACATCTAGAGGAGTGCTGTATAATAACAGTGTCTTGTTTGTATGAAGCCTCATCTCTTAGGTAAAGCCTCATAATAGCTGTGTAACAACTGTCACAGTTGATAATGTGCTTATAAGAGTTGTTATGCTTTCTAAGACTGTCTTTGTTCAAAGAGAATGAAGGTTTCTATTTCATGCGCTAACCTGTTGCTTCAAAAAATGCTGAAAACACATCACTTAAGTGCAAAATTAGCATATAATATTGTTGTGAAATATATTTGCTACTAAAAAACTTACCGATAGCAAAAATAACTTTTTTTTTTTTTAATCTCCTACATGCGAAGTTTGCTCTTTTTCTTGGCATTTAATAGGGAAGCAGGATGTTTGTTTGTTTTGGGTTTTTTTTAGGTTTTTCTCTATCTACCAGGGTTACCTCTTTTGCTGCCAGAGTTGACTATTTTCAAATAGTTAGTTCTACTCTTCTTGGTCAAGTGTATGCTTAATATATATTATACAAAGGCTGAGGAATATTTAGACTCCTCTAGTATGCTACTGCATAGTCCATTTAGAAAGGACATTTGTTTTAAAATTTTAATGATGGATGAACAGTACATAATGGATCAAGGCCTCAATAATTATTCTTGATGTTATTGTATTCTGGTTGTGATCCCCTACTAAAATACTTGCTTTTAATATATTGATTATGGGGATAATTGTATCAATTGCCTTACTAATGGTACCAGTGCCTTCAGGTGAGTTTGCTTCTGACTTTGTTGGAAACTGGCTGTGATTTGCTGTACTGCCTTTTTCATGTGTAGCTGGTTAATTGTATGTCAATCATTTTAACACCTTCATGTTGATCAGTGGGGTGGATGTTGGCCCATGCTATTAGTTTAGGTTCTGTTCCTACAAAGTTCTGCTGTGATTCAGTTTTAAATATCTTTCATTTAGAGGCTGTTTGGACAATAATGCACCTGCAGTCTCATTTATAAATTTATTCTTTTACCTTCTTTTAATTTCCT